CTATTTTCTTGTACTCTGTGCCTCACGAGTTCATGACCAATCGAAAAAATATGAAATTAGCCAACCACTCGATAGACTCGATTACAATACTTGGGAATAAAAACAAGTTTCATAAGACGCTATTTTCGAGGGCGAATCCCAAAAATGGAAAACGAGTCATCGTCAGATGAGTTTTCTAAGGGATAATTGCTAAAATGTCCGATGGAACGCGTATTTTATGCAATTTTCTTCTACTTCGCAACTTTTTGTTCATTTAAAAACAAAATTGGATTTTTTAAAGTTTTGGGGAATTTTGTCCCGGTTGGTACGACAAATGTCGGTTTCTAACATTTGAAGTTTAAATTTTCATTATTAATATGAGAAGATAGTAAGCATAAATTGAAAATAATGCGACAGTTTTTGGGAAACTTATTGCCTAATAGCCTATAATTTTTTAAATTTTATCATTAATACTTGCCTTGGCAAAATGAGAAACTAGAGATGATCTTGCAGATTGATTTGTCCTTTTAACTTTGATACTATCCGTCCCGATTCTCTCAGCTGATTATTTTATCTATATCGACATTGTATCATGAAAAGCACAGTTTATTTTTGTTCCGCTTACTTGGTAATTTTTTCAGCTATCGTTCAGTCAGTTGTGTTGTTTTCGAAAAAATTGGATTACATATCCAGTAGCGTCACTATTTTGTAGTATTTTGCGCTTTATATTTCTAGCATCTCACGAAGATATAAATTCCACATCTTTAAGGGGGTCTATGACTCTGTTAAACCTTTTATAATATAAATTTTGAATAAGTTTGGCGATTTTTTCCACACTGTTTTAATAACCCATTGTTTAGAGTTAGTCTTCACCATTACGCCGTTTCATGTTGAATCCGCAGTGTTTTCAAATGTGGGTCAATTTTGTGATTGATAAATAATGTATGAGATATTGAAGAACGCGCTTATTGACTCACCTTGTATATTAATACTTAATTTAAAAACATAAACATATTTTGTGGTCGAGTAGTCTGCTAATTGCCTTTTGACACACTAAAATTTGTTTATAATCCGTTACAATACAATACGATTTCATTATTACCCGATTTATAGTACCATCGCCAACTCCATTGGATATACGCGTTAGCGGATATAAATGGAGTTGGCGATGACAGTACCATAAAGTGATCTCATGGAAACAAAATAGAACACTAGGTATTTTTCAGGAGACATTGAAATTGTTTGAAAAAACGTCATAGCAACCAACATGAATTGTCATTTGTATCTTTATTAAACTGAATATAAAATTGAGATATGAAATTGGAATTGAGGTTCCATTATAAAGCATATTAACGAATAAATGATACTACTGTCACTACTGTTATTATATTAAACTTTGTTGTGGAAGCTAACATTTATCAATATCTTTCTTTAATATAACAAAATAATTCATGTCGTTATTTCAAAAAATACAAAAGAATTTCATTTTGATTATTACTTTTCCACGGACGGGCAATATAACAGTCAAAGCCTTGCCGCTCTCAAGCGACAGATAGGCGGGATGTATCCATCATTCATCAGCCAATGAGGTGGATCGGTCATTATAGATATTCTGAAAACGGCCGGTCTGCGTTCAAATGGATCCTACGATAAAACGGTTTAGTCTTCGTACATTTGACAGATTTCCCATCTCACGCAAAAACACTTTGTGCTAAAACTTTTTATAAGTTTTACTTTTAGCCCGATTACATTTTCTGAGAAAACTTTCTATGCAATACTCGTTCTGTCAAAAAACATTTTTGTAAAATTTGTTTTAGTCCTTTTTATTCTGCTTCTGAAACACCCTCCAAATTTGTGGCTCATCTGGCAACGTTTTCGGTAGGTAGTTATCAATGGAATAATGCGATTAGGTATACTGACCATTTTAAGGAGTGCTCGTCCAATAGTGCGTAAACTAAAAGATTTGGTAAATTTTCTTGGAAGAGTTTGTTTCTTCAATGAAAATTTATGGTTTTTAACTCTTCTGTCGCTTGAAAGTCCCGCCATGTGAAAATAGATTATTTGATAACCTGTTTCGTAATGATTGTAAATACGAACAAAAGCATATTTGCATATTCTAAACAACTGGCCATATCGATTCCAAACTTGTACAGATATGTTTTTTAATATTTCTGTTTTCATTTATAATATAACAAGTGATATGATTATTATCGATAATATTTCGAGTGAAACCGAGCTGCAGATTCAACGAGTGCGAAGCGCGAGTTGAATGTGCTGCTTCGGTTTCACGAGCCATATCTTCGATTATTAATCATATCACGAGTTATATTCAACATGAGAATATAATAAATGAACACATTTTTTGATAATAGAATTGATTTCGTCGTTTTGAGCTTGCCCCCAACGTTGGCAAGCCATAATAGACAAAAAAATTTATGAAATTCTAAAATTTGTCAAATTTGACAGTTTTTAAATTTAGATAACAACAGACCACAATAAGGCAATAAAATTATTATCGCTGTGATAGACATGTAACTAAGGGCATGGACAAATTCTATTGGAAGAAATGGGGTCATGTGATCCATGAATTATATTCTCAATGAAATAAATTTTATTTGCAAAATACTTAATGTCTAACGACATATTACGCATTCATACATATGTAGGTACTACCCCATTTACCATATTTCCAATCTGTGCATTTTTCGTTTCATTCGTAGGAGCCAGGTAAGAAGTATCAGTGAGACCGGCGGTCTTTCAATAGCTCGTAAATGAAGAGATTTAGTGAAGTTTCCTAGAACAATCTACATCTTCAATGAAAATTTTAGTTTGTTAACGTAATTAGGTGGGTAGAATTTTAAACCGAATCCACATTTTTACTATGAAAAAATTGGTCTAAAGAGTTTAGACAGTACTTCCCTCGCTGTCGGAAACATGACGACTGCATGCCTATTATGGTTTTTTTTCGCAGTAGATTTCAAAGCATTCGGTTTTGTAGTTCCTGAGTAAATCAATAAAATAAATTTACGCATTCATTTTTTTTTGAGTCACCCGGTATATGCAAATTCAAAAAATATGAATGGGATGATAAATTACAAGTACAGGCTCATAATATTTTGTATATTCTAGATAGGATTTATTCGGCAAACTTTTGAGCTGACGTCATTAGTTTTTTGGAGAAGATAACGAAATATATTTTGACTAAAACTTTATTATGCTCTTTGTAACCTTAAAACATCTGCAAGATTTCAAAACATTCGGTTCTGTAGTTCCTGATTAAATCAATAAAATACATTTACGCATTCATTATTTTTTTGGGTCACCCTGTATATGCAAATCGAAAAAATATGAATGGAATGATAAATCACAAGAAGAGACTCATCATATTTTGTACATTTTAGATAGGATTTATTCAGCAAAATTTTGTGGTGACGTCATAAATTTTTTAGGGAAGATGAGCAAATACATTTTGATCAAAAACTTACCATGCTTACGATAACTTTAAAACATCTTCAAGATTTCAAAGCATTCGGTTTTGTAGTTCCTGAGTAAATCAATAAAATAAATTTACGCATTCATTAATTTTTTTGAGTCACCCTGTATATGGAAATCCAAAAAATATGAATGGAGTGATAAATCACAAGTACAGACTCATCATATTTTGTACAGTTTAGAAGCAATTTATTCAGCAAATTTTCGAGCTGACGTCATCAATTTTTTTTGGGGGGGATAAGCAAATATATTTTGACTAAACATTTATTATGCTTTTTATAACCTTAAAACATCTGCAAGATTTCAAAGCATTCGGTTTTGTAGTTCCTGAGTAAATCAGTAAAATAAATTTACGCATTCATTAATTTTTTTGAGTCACCCTGTATATGCAAATCCAAAAAATATGAATGGAGTGATAGATCACAAGTACAGACTCATCATATTTTATATACTTTAGATCGGATTTATTCGGCAAACTTTTGAGCTGACGTCATCAAGTTTTTGGAGGGGATAACTAAACATATTTTGACTAAAGATTTATGATGCTGTTTACAGCCTTAAAATATCTGCAACATTTCAAAGCATTCGGGTTAGCAGATTCAAAATTAAATTGCAAAATGTTGTTTTATAATTTTGATTTTTTTTCCAAAAATCTGGACGTTTCGGGTAAAAACTGAATTCGGAGTCGTAAACTACATGTGTAGGACTATGTTATTTTATACGATTTAAAACCTATTTACTATGTACAATTTGGAAGTGACGTCGTCGTATTGGTGGTGGGAATGATTAGACAAATTTTGGTTAGCGTTTTACCATCTACATGATATTCCTAATATAAGTACAAAATTTCACAACAATCGGTCCAGTATTTTCGGAGATTATCTGTCTAATAAAAATCCGGGACGGACAGACGGACAGACGGACAGACGGACGGAAATGGGAGACCTATTTCTTCGTCTTCTAGGGGTCATGAAAGATCGAGAAAACGTAAAAGTAGAGAGTCGGCCGACGGACTCGATTACAATACTTTGCTTACGCTCGGGAAGTAATATAGGTACAATACGCTATATTCCTTTCTCGCTGCAAGACAGAACAAATAAAAAAATAGTTTCTAAAGCTGTTTCATTTTTCCACTGTTTGTTTTCTTTGAGATACGAGTGATTCTTGTGCCGAAGTGAAACACCAAAAAGTCTAAAGTTCGGAAATCAGAGTGATTTTTAAAACACATAAAAACGACTTCTTTATTACTTCCCGAGCGTAAGCAAAGGAAGTATTGTAATCGAGTCCGTCGGCCGACTCTCTACTTTTACGTTTTCTCGATCTTTCATGACCCCTAGAAGACGAAGAAATAGGTCTCCCATTTCCGTCTGTCTGTCCGTCCGTCTGTCCGTCCGTCTGTCCGTCCGTCTGTCCGTCCGTCTGTCCGTCCGTCTGTCCGTCTGTTGTCCCGGATTTTTATTAGACAGATAATCTCCGAAAGTACTGTTACGAATTGAAAATTCGCAGTAGCTATTTCGTTTTTTATTGGCATTCTCGGATCGGATTACATTTTGTTTACTCGTTTTTTTTTCGTTTCGTCATTTCGTGCATGGGTGGTTGGGTTGGGCACGGTGGCAATGAAGGACAACTTTGGTGGAGGGTTCGTCCCGAGCTTTTGACTCCCCCAGTCGCAAGACTGTCGCGATGATTCTGAGCTTGGAGGGGCTCAGCTGAGTGTTTCAGCCTCGCTGTTTGTAGATCGGTCTTCTGGATCGTTTCAGCTTGGTTCTTGCTATAAGGAACTGGATGGATCGCGCCATCCCAGAGCTTCACTCTGAAATTCGATTTTCGTTCTGTTTGTTATTTTTGTTCGCGAATTTCATTTGCTTACCTAGGTGGGAACAAACACCGTGGAGCGTCCCCTAGAGTCTTCGTCATTTCTGGAATCTTGATAGCCTTGTTTGTTTTTTTTCTCTTTTGTTAATAACCATCGCATCCACTCATTAGTTACATCGATTAGGGATTTTCGTCGGAATTCGACGTTTCGTAAGTTTGCCACTAGAGGGCCAAACTTCCGTTAATTCTCGCTTCGTTACCTTGCCACGTCATCGCAGGTGGAAGGGAATCCATTTTGCTTTGGTACTTCGTGTTGAATGGTGTTGGGGGTTAGTGCTTTCCTCTTTTGCAGTTCGTTTTAGCAACCTTTTCTTTGGCGTTACGTTTGGAATCGCATTCGTCGGATCTGTTGGGTCCCCTAAAAGGTGCTATCGCTTGGAGCGCATTTGTGAGCTGTAAAAGATATAGTGCATTCGAGCACTACGACTTTGTCGGATTTTGGGTTAAGGGCACTAGACCATCCCGCTAACATCGGAGAAGCTGCAGTCGATCCGCAGTTTTTTTTTTGTCGCTGATCTTGCTATTCCCGTGATCGAGAATTGGAGCCAGTTTCGAGTGGGAGAACGAATTCTATGAATTCCAACTGTCGTGGGCAGTTGTGAGCCCTCCCAGAACAGCTGGAGAGTCACCAAAAACCTCGACTCGACATCGACTGGAATTCGCTGCGACGCCGCTGTGTTTCGACATCTCGTCGTGGATATCGAAGGAGGCAGGTGCCCATGGTACTTCCATTCCATCTCATTAAGATTAAGTATTAGTCGCCTTACCTTTTCTTTATTGTATCGTAAAACGTTTCGAAGTTCGGCGTAACTAGCACTCGCACATAACCTAGTCATAACAATCGGTAAGACTGTGACGCTTCGCTCTACGTTGATACCTTCGTACGTACGTTAGGACTACCGAGCGTGTGGCCTACTTCGTTTATCTCATAGCCCTCGAAATAATTAATCAAATCGTTATTCGTTACGACTCCAACTAATTTGTTCGTTTCGTAAACATCGTTCGTATCGCTCGTATTTATCGTTAATTAGTTCGTCGCCTTTCGTAATTAAACTATCGTTCGTATTGCTCGTATTTATCGTAAACCGTTAGTCGCATTAAATCGTTATCATTAATATCTGACTCATTTCCTTTTGCTTACTTATTTAGTTATTTATCACTCTTATTTTATTTTTAATTAGTGACCTTAGGTTTTATTGTAACCAATAATTTAAGTAACAGCTTGCAATTACAATAGTTAATAGTATATTAAAGAACGAGTTTCATAAGGCAGATATTGAGGCACGAATCCAAGTTTATAGAACGAGCGGCGAAGCCGCGAGTTATATAAAGGATGAGTGCCTCAATGGCCTTATGAACGAGTTATTTATACTATTTTTTCTACCGCACACGTTTTTTCCCAAAATTTAATTGAAATTTGCATTTTTTTTAATCTGGGGACTTTTGTCGTGGTTGGTGATGGGTTGGTCTGACACTAACCACAAAATATTTGAGGTTCGAATTTTCACAACAACAATTGTAATTCGAATCAATTCGAGTTTTTGTAATTTAGAATTGGTTAAAATGTCTTGCGAAGAAGTTACGCGTCCGGAAACGTGGGAAATTTTAAGTTTAGATTTGCCACTGACATTCACCTGACATTTCTCGTCATTGCTACCAATCTTACCGCTCTAAATTACACCAGATCTATTAAAGAACGCCTTTCCGCTATTAACGAACTGCTGTGACGTCATTTGCGTGCGTTAATAGCTCTATTAGAAAACCAAAAAACGTGGGCGGTAGAAAAATATTTTTCCGGTTTTTTGTTGTTGTAATTGTGTCTTAATAAAAACTGGTGGCGCCCTGGCGACGTCGCTACACAAAACAGTGTGCTCTCTCTTCTTTGCGAACCTCTAGCGACCTGACCCTTTGCACCCGCAGGAACTCACCCCTTCTCCACTAGCAGGCCGGCAACGAGCTATGAGTTTGGCTCGTAACAGTACTCGACCGATTGTTGTGAAATTTTGTACTTATATTAAGAATATCATGTACATGGTAAAACGCTAACCAAAATTTGTCTAATCATCCCCACCACTAATGTGATGACGTCACTTCAAAATTGTACATAGTAAATGGGTTTTCAATTGTATAAAATAACATAGTCCTACACATGTAGTTTACAACTCTGAATCGACTTTTCACCCGAAACGTCCAGATTTTTGGAAAAAAAATCAAAATTATAAAACAACATTTTGAAATTTAATTTTTAATCTGCTAACCAGAATGCTTTGAAATGTTGCAGATGTTTTAAGGCTATAAAGAGCATCATAAATCTTTAGTCAAAAAATATTTGCTTATCCCCTCCAAAAACTTGATGACGTCAGCTCAAAAGTTTGTGGAATAAATCATATCTAAAATGTACAAAATATGATGAGTCTGTACTTGTGATCTATCACTCCATTCATATTTTTTGGATTTGCATATACAGGGTGACTCAAAAAAATTAATGAATGCGTAAATTTATTTTTTTGATTTAATCATGAACTGCAAAACCGAATGCTTTGAAATCTTGCAGATGTTTTAAGGTTATAAAGAGCATAATAAATGTTTAGTCAAAATACATTTGCTTATCCCCTCCAAAAAATTGATGACGTCAGCTCGAAAGTTTGCCGAATAAATCCTATCTAAACTGTACAAAATATGATGAGTCTGTACTTGTGATTTATCACTCCATTGATTTTTTTTGGATTTGCATATACAGGGTGACTCAAAAAAATTAATGAATGCGTAAATTTATTTTATTGATTTACTCAGGAACTACAAAACCGAATTCTTTGAAATCCACTGCGAAAAAAAAACATAATAGGCATGCAGTCGTCACGTTTCCGACAGCGAGGGAAGTACTGTCTAAACTCTTTAGACCAATTTTTTATTTAAATATTGTCCTGTAACGTCCTGCGACTTGGAATGGAGTTAAACGAAAAATTTTCTTGGTTAAAAACTAAAGAAAATATTTAATTTAAATAAGTAAATTACGTTAATAAACCATAAAACCACAAAAATCTTTTTTTTAACACAAATTATATTTCAATAAATTTTCAGTAGCGAGTTGTCGATATACTTAATTGTATTTACATCATAAAATGTGAAAGAAAATGTCTTATTTTTGACTTTATGCGGCATATGTTTTCCGTTTTTTAAGATATATTATATGAATGCATATGTTTTGTCTTTAGTATATATCTGCCCGTCTCTAGTCTAATAAATTTTCTAAAAAAATACAGTAAGTTTTGAGAAAACGCATTTAAAAGCATTTTCCTTTGTATTATTAGTAACAAAAGCGAGCACACGAAAGCGTAGAAAAAATTTCAAATGTGTTATTTACATTTATTTTACTTCATACTGTGTCAAATTTGACGTTTTACTGGATTCAAAGGAGTCCGGTGAAATAAAAAAAACGGACAAGTCCGGTAAAATTGAGCTAAAAAGGACAAGTCCTGTAAAGTGTTACTATGTGTTTAAACATTTTTGATGCTGATTTGCACGAATAATATTTATTTATGTACCAAGTCAGTAAAGTGATTCTTTATCGAACGAGTCTGAGATTGTGAGCCGAGCGAGCGAAGCGAGCGAGGCGAGTAACAGGCGAGTTCGATAAAGATCCTTTACTGACGTGGTGCATACAAATTTTTATCGCCAACCTTAAAAATTTATAATTAAAAATAATGGAAATGTTATGACTTATCACATTTTATTATGACAGTAAACGTATAATAACAATGAGTCAAAAGATATCTACTTATTACTTGTTATATTAAATGTAAATGTACAACCTGACGAATTATAAAAATTGAGTCCTGAAGTCGAAGAAGTTTGAAGTGAAAATGTTTGAGGATTAGCCGTGCTAATAATTTCATTAGGTGAATCTTGAGTAAAATTATCATTGGTAACAAATATGTTGTCAGTTTGACTTTCACCTAAAATTGTCTCTGCAATTTTCTTTTTATTGAGCACAGATTCCTCAACATAGGACTCTGCAATCGTATCAGAACTTTTCTCGTTGGAACCGTGACAGTGACAGACAGAATGTCATACAGTCATGGTTATGTTGACAATTATGAGCGGCAGGTAAAGTGCTTGATTTTTACAGTAAAATAAAGTGTTTGTTTACTTCCGAAAATCGCTATGGTAATGCATGTCTCTATTGCCGGTTGGCGATAAACACATTTAAAACATTTACCAAACCGCGGTTGCTAACGATGTCAGAAAAAGTGACTCGATTTGGATTTTTTCTCAAAATAATAATTATTTTCTCGATTAAAAAAATATGTTGATAGTATGAAATAAAATACATAACAACATACGTCCGGTAACTCTTTTCGTAGTACTCGTTTTGAAATTAAAGACGCGGCTACCTACTCGTCCTGAAACATCCCACTCGTACTGTAAAATTTGAGCTACCGGACCGTATTTAGAATAACTTTAATAACTATTTATGTTTTCATCAACACTAACAAGTGTTTAAAATAACAAGTAATAATTTGTTTGTATTGTTTATTCATTTTAATAATTCAATTTATTTACCAGAAACTTTTAAACGAAATTAAATCTAATCGACTAGAAATAACGGCAAAGTTGTGTTAGGCTCATCTGGCAAAGTTGTAAATTATCTAAATGCTTACTATGAGATTTTTACACATTTTTTTCGTCGCCCTCTATCGAGTGGTAGATTTATTAAATATGTTGTTGCTGTAATTTGTGTTGCCTATGCGCGTGATTGGTGTCCAAGCTTTTCGCCGGCGTTTGACGGTCGAATGTTGGTGCGCCATCTCTTGTTCGCCGGCCTTTGGCCTGTTCGCTCCAAACAATAGCATGGGTCTATCTATATGTATTTAATCAATGTATAGGGTAAATGAATTGAAGCAAGGAAACCATTGTCACCTTCAGCTTGGTTGAATGATATAGCGATTTACTTAGCGATTCGAGCAATGACGTTAGAAATATTGAAGCAGTGCATTTACATGTATAAGAGGAACTGAAATAGCATTTTTTTCTTTGTCCATTGTCCCTGAACCGGACAAGGTTTTGATGAGTTCATTCGTCGAATTTTGATTTTATAAAGACAATTATAAAGCGATGATGGGTATCAAAAAAATTAGAGAGTGGTTAATTTTTAATTTTTTTAAATTTATTTCATCTAATGAAAAAATAAAGCTCAACTTCTGCATTTACTATCCACCAGATGTTTGGGAGGTGCAGTCGGACGATCCCTTTTTTCAGTATTTATGTTTATTGCACTTCACACTCACAGTGAAGCTTTCGAATTCCATTTGGCCATTTGGTTCACAACCACCGAACCTTTCTCGTGCATCCGTAACTCACTTCATTTTAAATGCAGTTCTGTGAAAATTTCTGCCATTCAGTGTGGGTTGTATTTATACTAGGTAAGTTAATATAATTCTAATGAAGTAATCATTTTAATTTTTACGTGCTTCTGTTGTTTTTGATAACTGTACGTAAATAACAAAAACAGTTTTTTCAGATAAGCTGGAAATACCACCATTAATCACTGAAGATACTCCCACTGATTTTGAAGAACTTACGCTGATTGTTTTTGAAAGTGAGGCGCTTTGCCATAAAATGTTTCAAAGGTATGTTACTGCAATTTTTTACGAACTAGGTGCTAATGAACATAATTTTACTCTAGACTTGAAACAAATACAAAAAATTTGTGCGAAACAAAAGAAATTCCAAAAGAAACGAGTAAACAAATCTCCAACATGAAAACGTCATCAAATCTGACAAATCAAAAAGAAAACAGTAATAGAAGATATGCCGTCAAGACCGCAGCTAAACAAATTTTGAGGAATTAGAAGATTCTCTTTGCCTACTACAACAAGCAGGTTTCTTTGTAAGTTACAAAAATACAATAAATTTATATGTACTTACATATAACATAATATTTGATATTATATACAGGTAGATGCCTGCAATACTATAACACTTTTTAGGAACCTACTAAACATGACACATTTGGCTTAACTGCCCATTC